CCAGCCGTTAGGCCGAAAAGGGAGGCGGTGAAACGCGGCGACTGGGCGAACAGCCCCCGCCGGTCCCTGGCTGCTCTCCGCCTCGTGTGGGGCTGCTGCGCCCCCTCCTCGTGAAGCGCTGTGAGTTGCCCAGGCGGGAAAACAAAATCCCTCTAAAGGCAGAGGGGGGGGTTAGGAAATTTTAGAAACGTGAGGTAAATAGAAAGTTGGAGATTACTATGCAGAGTGGGATTAATTCAGAAAAAAAATATATTTTGCATGCATTGGGCACAAAATGTATCGTACCAGAAGAACCACGCACCAAGAGACCTGTGAGGACACTTGGCGTTGTAGAGGCAACGATCCCAGAGTTTGGGGTTTGGACTGTAAGGTTATTTGTGCACCTGAGTGCTGCTCCCTTCTGTTACAGCAGAGCTTGGCATGCTAACCTGAGCGTGTAGGTCCTTGAGGTTTTCTCTCTGTATATATATTCTAGATACAATTCTCCGAAAATTTAATTATGACTCTCGAACAAAAAAATAAAATACATGCAGCTAGTGAAAATTTAGTGAAGATTATGTGCAATTGTAAATGCCAAATATCGAGAATTAGCTGTAGGTGGATCTGTGTTATCCAGTACCATAGGCCATTACTAGATACTATCAGAAATAAAGAATCAATGTCTAGGTTTGAAAATATATTTCCTTTTTTTAAAAAAAATATATTTATTTCTGTGTGTATGTGTGGTAAGTAATTATCTCACGGTGATAGTAGTTTCTAACAGTGGTTAACTTTTTTTTCTAGTGTACAAAAGCATGTTTTTACCACGATCTCTTAAAGTCAAGAGGAGTCCTGATGAGGACAAAAGCACAGCTAAGAAGAACAAATTGTCTTTGGGAGAATGTTCGTTAGAGGAGACTTCAGAGGCCCAAGAGACCCAAGACTTCGAGTCAGCTACAAAAGAAACTTCTGCTTCAGGATGCAGTTTGTCTGAAGTTGTACAAGAGTGCAGAGCGACTGTAGCTATTCCATCAGATCTTGGGGTTGCTAATACACCTTTAGGAAAGGACAGCCAAAATACTGATGAAGAAAGCTCTTTGGAAGAACCTGTAAAATCTTTCAGCAAATCGCAGCGCTGGGCAGAGCCTGGGGAACCTGTATGTGTTGTCTGTGGTCGTTACGGAGAGTACATCTGTGATAAAACAGATGAAGATGTGTGTAGCTTGGAGTGCAAAGCCAAGCACCTTTTACAAGCTCAGGAAAAGCTAAAATCTGACCAAGTCGTGGAAGCAGAAAATGACCTTGATACAACCTATTCCTATAAAGATCACTCCTTTATTTTAAGTTTGCAAGATGAGCACATCAGGAACCTTAAATTGCAATTGGGTATTGTTGTCCTGGGCCAGCAAGTGCCAAGACCCATCATTGAGTTTGAACACTGTGGTTTTCCTGAAACTTTAAACCGTAATTTGAAGAATTCTGGCTATGAAGTTCCAACTCCCATCCAAATGCAAATGATTCCTGTTGGACTACTGGGAAAGGATATTTTGGCTAGTGCAGACACTGGCTCAGGAAAAACAGCAGCCTTCCTGCTCCCAGTTATTATGAAGGTTTTAAAGGAGGTAATCAAACTTCGGTTGTTTTGAGAAAGTGGTTTCCCTGTGTAATTGAAAACATAATTGCAGTGGCTTCCATTGAAATTCAATTGTTTGTTTTATTTTGACTGATGTACATTGTTGCTTTTGAGAGGATTGCTGATTGACTTTGAATGTTTTGTCACTCTGTGCTCAAGTATCTCCATCAACATTTCTTGACAAGTAGAGACTGTTTATCAGGCAAAAAATCCAGCAGAGTTTAGTTACTTTAAGTGACTTAAAATAGAAAGTAAAAACAATTCCAGGCATTCTGTATGTCAGCTGCTGCCATCTCCTGAGGTATCAGATGGCTGAGACTTTTTGACATTTGCCTGATTTCACAGAATGACTAATGTTGGAATCTGTTCAGCTGACCACCAGGTAATTAGAAGAGTTCAGGTAATATATTGATGAGTACATTATGAGAATAATTTCTCAAATGTGCTAATTCTTAACACATCTTCCCACAGTCTCAAAGGAGGGAAATCAATTAAGAATATTTGTGCTTCAGAAAGCTGTGAGTGTATAATGAGGAAATAATGGCAAATGGTATTCAGTACCATGTGTTTGCTTTGGTATTGCTTTAGTATTTTTATTCAGAAGAACAAGAATATCTTTGAAAGTTGTAGACCTGATTCTCAGAGATGGTTTGGATTGGTTAGGTACCTTTACATGCATTTATGTATATTTTTTTCCAAAAGAGTTCTTTAAACATTATTTAATTAACTCTTTTAATCTTCAAAGTACTGTAACATTAGTTTTAATAATTTTTTATTTAAGAATGAGATCATCGTGATTAAAGTCCGTGAGACTGGTTGTGCACTTATAAAAACATGTGCAAAGTTATGTCCTCAATGAATAGTACTGCACCTTAATTTACTTGTGCTACTTTTCATCTTCAGAGTACTTTACAAGTTAATGTGTATTTCAATAGGAAAGTGTTATTGTTGTTTAAAATATTTTTAATTTTAACTTAGAATGGAGGATTCATGAGGAATCTGGTGATGAGATACTATTTGACAGTTCTTGGATTCTCATCCCTTATATTACCTTATATTCCTTTTTGCAGTTGTAAGCTAAACTGAACTCTGTTCTCTAGTCAAAAACAACTGAAGAAGCCCATTTTGAGACAGTGTTTAGCTGTGTACTTCCTATGACGTTGCACTGGCAAAGGAACAACTTCCTAGTGTTTTGTCACTGTAAATATTCTGGGTGAAGAATAGAAACAAACAGATACTACCTAGAGAGCTATTTAGTAAAACTGTGATTGTATTAATATGAGGGCTTTGTTTATTTGGTGAGCAGGGTGTTTTAGGCAATTTATGATCTGCAATGACAAAATAATGTGTCTTAGGGCATGACTGCTGTTCTGCTATTTTTCTGTTTTAGATTTTTTTTTTACTTTGTTATTAAATATTAACTGCACTTGGGAAACTGATTAATTGTGTAACTACACCCCAGCAATGTTTGTGCTTAATTCCAGGTGGTGGGTGAGACAATAAAGGGAAATATGCTTAACATCCAGACTTAAAAAACTTTTGTATGGATTCTAGAGATATGGTTAGCATCCTGTGTGTTGAGTTTCTGTGAAATTATTATGAGTTACTGTTGTAGCAGTATGCAATAACTAAGAAAAAGAAAGTGATCTTGACAAACACTGCTGCGTGCCTTTGCCGGATGCTATTTTAACACTGCAGTTACATAAATTTTTGTTTTCAAATATGCAGCAATTGGTGGATTGACCTTCTTGATATGTGCAGTTACAGGTGGAATCCCTTTCTACATTCAGTTTTCAGCTGT